TTTGCTGCAACTGGACTAATGGAGAAATGCCAGATTAAGTCCACTCGCTTTATGTACAGCTGAATAATCGCTGGGTTAGGAGTTAAATGCATTATTCTAAGAGAAAATAAGGCCATTAATATGCAATTAAGTGCCAATTTCGATTTGAAGTTGCAGCAGGTGATCTGACGTCAACACCTTTCGTCCTTGCCGACAGTTCATCATCGGTTGGTTTCATCCGTTACACAAATGAATGTTGAGAACGAGTGGGGGGGGCACACGCACAGGTAACATGGCAACTGAGTTACATCAGCCCACAACACGGGAGCTTCAGGTTGTATAGCAACTGCACGTTTAGCTGTAAGGTGAGTCCAACAGAAAAAACACTATGTTACTGATCTAACAGTAAATAAATCAACAGTAAAATATAGATTCCTGCACTGTTCCCTAATGAAAGAAGTTTTTCAGGCCCCTGACACAGTGGTCGGTTACTTGTTGGATGTATTCCTTAAAGAAATCATCGATTAGATTAGACAGAAAGTACTCACATTAACCTGTTAAAACAACAATCTACTGTCCACCGATCTTAACACTGTCTGAGCTCCAGGTCAGTTTTTATTTTAGATTTGGAAAGACACACTTTATTGTAAATCTGAGTGCTGTCAGTCATAGTTTACTTCTTCAGTTCATCAAATTACAAGTCATTTTTTATGCTTTAATTTTGCAGCCTTGCCAGAAAATGCTATTATTTCAAATAACGGGGCTGGGAGTAACAATTAAAAACACGTGCAGGGCCCTTTGACATGTCTTGTGTCTTTTGGGCTTTAGGTAAAAGTATATGATTTCTTATACATGACGGTCTTATCTTATTTGTTTAAGCTTTTTTTGGGTGTTGCCAAATTGCTACTTTGCAGTTAAAAAAAAAAAAAAAACCTCGCTAACATTAAATCACTGTTATGAACTTCCCTTGGGGGCAGCCCGGAGGTCCGCCTACTACTTTCTTTCAACTCTTTTTCTGTAGGCCAAAACACAACACACAGCACACCACCACAAGATTCTTTAATCATTTAAAACTACAAACAAACGCGCGAGGTAAGAGAGTCGTTTCATTTTTCTTCTGTGTTCTTACGTTGTAATGCCTTTCAAGTTTGACCCTAATCCCCCTTCCACTTTCTCGGCCCTATCTCCAACATTAACCTCGGCCCGTGAAAGCGCATGCACGGCCGTCGGTCAACAATCCAAACTCATGAATATGAGGCCTTTAAAGACGTCCCCACCGCCTGAATTCGTACTTTCAACAACAATTGTGGTTTGAAGGTTTGTGCAAGGTTGATTTTAAATAAGATAGGAGAAGGACCGATTTAACAGCTGAGTCAAAGCTTATAAAAAGTTATGTTCATTATTGATTTATCTGTTAACTAATGAATCATGTACGAAGCCAAGTAAACTTCTCTCAAATAAACTGGTCTAAAATACCATCTTGGCCATTCTGTACTGCAATTTCTTGTTACTTAATTGGCCTCACAAGTTATTGGTATCTTGTATCCATAATTAGATTTACAAAGGTTAACAACCACCTTTATTCTTTTTTGATTAATCGTTGATACATTTCTCAATTTAATTTTTCCAAAGCCCAAGTTGAATCTTAAATGACTCCATGTTAGTCCACCAAAGCCAAAACATATTTTCATTTACAATGATTTAAAACAAAGAGAAAGGCGGGCATCCTCAACCTATGAAGGGAATTGGAAACCAGAGAAGAAATATTTGTATTAACAAGTTAATTGAACTAATTTTTGGACGAATCTGCAGTTGAATCAATTGAGCCGTGGAAACCTCATGTGAGCTGCAAATGATCACCAAGAACAGTTAAAACTGAAGGAACAAGCAAAAGTTAATCGTGTTCTTGTTGTGTTGTGGGTGTGTTGTGTGTTGTTGTTTTACTTATTGGGACTCTGACCTACACACCATATTTTTTAATTCCTCACAAGATTCAGAGGCAGGATGGACAAGACAGAACAGACGACACCCCTTCTTAACAGGCTGCGAGCATTCTTGGCCGCTGTCAACCTCCTTCCACAAATGCCGAGACAACCCGGATCTGATAGGCCTGAATTTCGCGTGAAAGTGAGGCCGCACAGAACAACCCGGGTGGGCCTGAACCGACCACAAAACAACCAATCCACACACACACAAAAATTCAAACTAACCCCGTCCACTCCTTCCCAGCCTCGTCTGCCGTTACCGAACAAGGTTTGGCCGCACATAAAACTATGACCAGCGTCCCGTGGAGTGTCACAACATGTTCACTCGAGGTGGCCGTCCCGCTCCCCGTTTCGCCCTCCCCGCTGCCGCCGCTGCCGCTGCGCTCGGCCCATCGCGGTCGTGCTGCTCTCCCGGCCGGAATTCCTCCTCTGAGTGCCGGTCCGCCGTCACTCGAAGGACCTGGATCCGCGGCCGCATAATAATTTAGTGCACAAGTAGACGGAAGGTTAAACGCAACCAACACCACACGGGCACAGACCCGAGAATAACGTCCAAGTGTCACATGCGACGACGAGTGTCACACAGACCGATGCTGGCTGCTTCCGCTGCGCTATCCGCTCTAAACAACGAATAACACTTCCGTTCCGGGCAAAACAGGGACGAGGGGGCGGTCGAGGATACACCCCCCGTATTATATAATATAATGGATAATAAATGATAATAATAATATAATATATAAATAATTTAATATTAATAATAAACAATAACAATCAATAATAATAAATAATCGTATAATGATAATAAATTAATAGAATAATAATATAATAATATTATAATAATAACATACAATAATAATAATAATATAAAATTGATAATAATGAAATAATAATAATTATATGAAATAATATGAGTAATAATAATTAATATAATAATATATAACAATTATAAATTAATAATAATAACAACAACAATAAAATAATATAATAATATAATATATAAACTTGATATATAATAATAATAACAACAACAATAATAATAATAATAAAACAATATAAAATAGTTCAGTAGTAATATATAATGATATATAATGATAATATTTAATAGTTAATAATTAGGTAGTAGAGTTGTAATAAATTAATAATAGATATATTAATAACAACAATAATAATAGATAATAATTAATAACATAATAATAATAGTAGTAGTAATAATAGTAATGATAATAATAATGATAATAATAATAGTAATAATAGTAGTAGTAGTAGTAATAATAATAATAATAATAATAATAATGGTTTAAAAAATGACATTTTTTTTATTATGAAATACTTAAATGTCAAATCATGCTAAACAGTTGTTTGTTTTTTTAAATAATAATGGTTTAAAAACGAAGAATATTTTATGGTATGGTTAATCAAAATTATGAAATTCTTGACAAATGTCAAATCATGTTAAAAAAACTTTTTTTTAAAATAATAATAGTTTCAAAAATAAATATTTATGGTATAGTGAGTCAAAATTATGAAATACTGTTTTTTTGAAAACATACAATCCCAATGTCACCATATAATGCGTCTATGTCTATAAGTCAACTTTGTGACTTACAAAACCAAACTGTGATCATAACTTATCATACAAACTGTATTTAGTAAATCTGACATGACAATTTGGATTTATATGTAACATACAACTTTAACTCAGGATTTTAGATCTCATTATTTCCTTTTCCTTAATTTTTTTCTTCAAAATGTTCTTCTCCTGGTCTGTATAATAATATGACTCCATACAGCCTATCACTACCTGACTTAATAGATACTTGAGGGTTTCAAAAATACCATATATCTTCATAAAAAACATACATAAACATACAAAAAATGACAAATCTATTAAATATAATAATTTATTAGATAATATTGAGTATTTAATAGCGATTATTGGCAGCTCCAACCTTTTTTTTGAAAGACACCCAAAGGCGCACCGAACAAAATAAACGGTGGGACAACTCCTAAACAGCCGGAACCTTCGTCGTGTGTTTTGTTTCCGCCCGGAGTCATAAGAAGTAGGTACCGCAAGCGTGTTGTGTACATCAGAAGTGCCCACGCTTAGTGATGTGATAGTGATAATAGATTATTATTCATGAAAGACGTCCAGAAAACAAGTAAATGATCTTACCGGAGCAATCATCGTCAGTTTAACGGTAACGGACATTTTAACCTTTAATCTGAGGAGATAAAAGAAGACTTTCACTACCTGCCACCATGAAGATCAAGCGACAGAAACAAGCCAAGAAAACCATCAGTTTCTACAAATTCAACTTCAGCTTCAGGGAGCCCTTTCAGATCCTCATTGATGGAACTTTCTGCCAGGCGGCTTTGAAGAACAAGATTCAGATCAAGGAGCAAATGCCCAAATACCTGATGGGGGAGGTGCAGCTGTGCACCACAAAGTGAGTAAGACCAACCTACTGTATGTTACAGGTTAAACTGTAATCATCCTGTCTTATCTAATGTGTTTTATGCCCAGCTGTGCGCTGAAAGAGCTGGAGACTCTGGGGAAAGAGCTGTATGGAGCCAGAATCATCCTGCAGAGGTTCCAGGTGAGGAGATGTCCACATTTCAAGAGCCCTGTCCCTGCTTCAGAGTGTCTGCTGTCCATGCTGGAGGAGACTAACCCACACCATTACTTTGTGGCTACACAGGTAAATACTATGAGATCTTACACACACACACACACACACCTAGAAGAAAAATGAGAAATAATATTTTGGTTGCTGGAAATGACTTAAAACTAATGCAGTGTGATACAACAGTCATATATTTGTATTTATATTGTTATTTAATGTGTTTTTTTTATTATTATATCTGCTGTGTTCTGTCTGGAGCTGCTGTAACATGTGAATTTCTCCAGTGTGGGATTAATAAAGTCATTTAAGTCAATTATCTTATCCTAAATTGTTTTGGAGAAGGGTTTATTCAACTAGTCAAACACCAGTCAGTATAACATGATACAGTTCAACAGCACCACAAACTACAGGCTCCCTTAATGACCATACAATTGAATCAGCAACACAAAAAGAACATTATAACCTTTATAAAGGAAGTATTTATTGCAGGGATGTTGTATTAAATTATAAATTGGTATTAATGTAACCTCTTGTTGACTTCTGCAGCATTTGTTCCCTTATTTGAATTAATAGGTACTTAAATACAAAGATGCACGACGTGCTTGGTGGAACGGGAAGCAGTAGAGAAAAGTTATCTTACCGAGAATTTAAACAAAAAAAGTGCTCACACTATTCGTGTCATTAATAACTGACAGAAATTTATAGAAAGGTTGGTCAGATCTACTGTATGTAAAATGTCTGTGTACACATTATGCAGGGATATTTGTGTGGAAGTGAGCTCAGACAACCCTTAATATGTCGCACAAAGAAAGGTTTAGACAAGAATTGTGGTAATTACTAAATAAATATCAAGTGCCTGATCATATTTTCCCCCCAGTCTAGTAATAAATGAACCTTGGGATTGTGCTGTGTGTCTGGACCATAACTGTAAATCTACATCTTGTGGATGTTCAATGTGTTGGTTTCACTTTATAATGGTGTTTTTACAGGAGTGATTTTCCACCTGGGTGGTTAAGAATAAATCTTCACGGTCAAGAGAAATAATGTTCTGCTGCTCATATTTTTCTTATTTTTTCTGCTATATTTATCTTGGTAGTTTTACCTCTTCAGGCCTCCTGAACACTTATTCAAATAAAGCAGTCTGAGAGGTGTAGAGGAGAAAATCACAACTCCATGAGGGGCTGCAACCACTCATTTAGCAGGGAAAGAGGGGATTTATCAACTTACTTAACCCCTGGACTTCCTGAAATAGTGGAAGCCAATTAAATGTCAGTTAAAGAACTGTCATATAATCATTTACAAGTCTAGGAAGAGAGGTTCCTTAACAAACTAAATTAGGGCCAATTGGAGTACTATTGATGTAACTATTGGAAGTGACTGACCTGTATAAATCTGGCATCCCCTCACACAAATCTACTGGTGTATGTGTGTTCTCCAGGATCACACAGTAACAGCCGGCCTGAAGAAGATCCCTGGAGTTCCTCTGCTCTACATCATCCTCAACACCATCGTGCTGGACAAACCCTGCCAGACGTCCCTCGACCACGTCCAGGCCGTCCAGCTGGGAGAGCTGGTCAGCCCGGCTCAGCAGCAGAGCATCCGCAGCCTGAAGGAGGAGCAGGGCATCGCCCAGAAGGACGGAGAGAGGCGGGGGAAGAAGAGGAAGAGGAAACAGAGCAATCCTAACCCTCTGAGCTGCCTGAAGAAGAAGAAGAAAGGCGTCCCGACACCGTCGCTGAAGAAGACTGAGCAGGGGGAGAAGAGGAAAAGAACTCGACACAAGAAACGGAAAGACGACATGTCTGCTCCTGTGGTTACAAATACATAGTACAGCAGAAAGACAGAGACTTGAGCCATTTTTGTTTTTCCCATAAATATTATTTGAAGATGTCAAATATGTTCACGATTAATATAATCCCAAACTAAAATAATTACACTCTGCAGATTTACTTCTGGTCTGTTTTTAACAATGTTACTGCATAGAATAAATCTGTTTATTACACAAAATGCCATTTTAAAATACTTGTCATGGTATTTGTTTTATTTTGAAAAACTTCCCCGGACTAACAGGCATGGAATTGAAACCGATCAGAAACATGCCGATATTGTTAAATGAGACGATTTGTCTTGGCTTTTATACAAAATAAAAAAAGCAGGTTTTTACAGGCACATAGTTGAACATATTAGATGCACTCAGACATTACAGTATATGGAAAAAACCGATGCATTCAGCTGTCTTTGCAGACGAAGTAAGAAGTGTCATCACAATGACTTGATTTTTTTGATGTCTGCTAAATTCAGTTGTATTTTTTCGATTAGAGTCCAAAAGACAACTTCCATAACAAATATGTCCATTCAGACTTCACTTGATCGTCTTATCGGGTCATTCTTTAGATTAAAAATCACGTATAAATAAAGAACAGTTCATTCTCTTGTTATATATTACATCAATAAATGAATATTGAAAATCTACTTGATTTACACTGTCAGAAGTTACTGTGGAAGTGACACTAAGCACAACTGAAGTCTTAATTATCAAGACAATACAATACTGTATGATTCCCAGCTGTAACTAAATGATTATCTATATATAAAAGGGTCACTGGATGAATTGAATCTGTCGCATACCTAAGTCATTTTAAGAACAAAATAGAAACTGGGTATTTCAGGATGGAACATGCAAGAGTATGGTAGACCACTGATGTTTACATCATCTATACGTTGAATCTCTGAAGCTCTTTTTTTATAAGCTGTGTCCCAATTCCATAGTACATACTTATTATATACATTATGTATTATATACTAATCATTACAGTGCAATTTATGCACTTTGTACACAAGAAATCACCACACAGTATAAATGATACTATAAATGTTGTCAGATGTTTATCAAACTGCAGCCGTTGAATGCTACAGCCAATCAGACAGCAGAAATGTAATAACTGTGGGTTTTAAGGTGTTGCTGGAGCTGTGTCACCAGCATCTCCTCTATTTCCTTTGTGCATTGTGTCGTAGAATAGTGTGAGCACATTACATGCTCCTGCCTAAGATTATTATGTATGAATTTGGGATAAAACTAGTTTTTTCAGACTCTCATGAAGCGCAAACAGTCGATGATGCAAGCAAAGCATTTGCAAAAACAACACGTTTGGAGTTTGTAATGCTTAAAGTGCTACACTACAGTAGTATAATGATTAATTGCTGGTTGAGTCTGCAGATCACTACCATAGTTACTGTTTAAATGTACTCTTGCAGAGACTGGATATAGTGCATGCTCCTTTTGGCTAAAATCTGAGTAGTACATGAGAACCATCAGATGAGAACTTTTTTTTTTGCTGTAGTGGGGCAGATGAATCTCAGAGTAACATGGTGGATTGAGGTTTCACTGTGTAAACACAGTTGTCTCCCACTGTAAACATATCTTAAAATAGATTTCTTTTGACTTTGATGCAAGTGCAACACAACAACCTCTACCTGGGAAAAAAAACCCACCAGTGAGTAGACAGAAACTCCAAAAGGGAACACACAGTGCCCACTTTATTTAACTTATTTCACATTAACTTAGCTGTAAAGTGAGTCTTGATAATAAAACATAAAATAAATAATAACAAAAAGGAAATAAGGCCATTGTTTACAGTTGCTATCCACCTCGCTATGTGGAATTTTTCAAGAAGAGACCTCAATAAACCAACCATGTTATTCAGACCCTGTTTGCTCCCACCACTGCTTGACATTAAAATATTGCAGACAGAAGGTAAAACTCCACATCATACACAAAACAAGTCAACAAACTCAAATGAATAAATAAAATGTTTGTTAAATTAACAGACAGTGCTGTGTTGCAGAGTTTTTTTCAGACTGTAAAGTTGTGTTTTCTAGATGATGTGGAAGCGAGGTCCGGGTGTAGCAATGATGTCGCTGTATGGCTCCTCCTGGACGAGCTCCACCGCCTGCTGCTTCTTCAGAACCAGGAAGCTGTAGAACTTTGCTGCTGCCTGCTTCTTGTTGTTGTTCCTGCACAGATCCAGCAGGCTGACCGACTGGGCGCCTGTTTTGGCCATCACCCTCTGTGGCAACGTGAGAGAGAGGGGGGGTCAGGAAGGTTCTGGCATTTTACTTCATTAAAAAAATATTTTGAAGTCATTCAAGTAGCAACAGGGGGGGCTGTGACCTCCTTTACTTTTCATAAAATGTATTGTTCCTCGCCTTCTGCTCTCACTTTAAGCAGCAGATGATAGGCTAAAACTGTAACAATGAAAATGATGTAAAATGTCTCAATACAATATCAATACAGGACCTTGTACTCTTTCAGCCATATGTAGAACCACAGAAGTTCAATATCACTGACTAGATACATTAGCATGCAGCAGCCAGCTTTTCATACATTCTGTCAGAACTGAAAAAACTACTTGAGATATAAAATTACTTTTGGATGTGAACCTTCTGACCAGTATTTAAAAAGTCTTCTAACTTGCAGCAACAATCCTACTCTTCTGGTTCTTCCAATGAGATGTGAGCACACAGTATACAAACCTGGAGGCCATGGAGCATCTGCTGGGTTCTTTTGTTCCACCTCCTCTCCTCCTGGTCCTGGTCTCCTCCCTGCGCCTCCTCCTCCTGACACAGAAAAACACAAACACTTATAAAGGCTACCTACTGTAAAATGATTTGTGTCCATCCTTTGTTAACTTATTCTGAATTAACAAATGAAAAAAGGTATTGTGTAAGTTTTTTATCTCACATCTTCATCAGAGTCGTCATCATTCTTCCTCTTGTCCTTGTCGCCAAGCAGGTCCAACTCTATCAGCTGGCTGATGTTGGTGGTTTCTTCTTGGGGCAGATCCACATGGGAAGGCTCCAGCTGCTGGGGCCCCTGTTGCTGTTGTTGCAGTTGTTGCTGTTGTTGCTGGTCCAAAGCTCCCATCTAGAGAAAATGGGGTAAGAGGATGCAGAGATAGAAGACAGTTAGTGGAGTTGGTAGAGAGGACAGAGAGAGAGAGAGAGCAGAGAAACAGAAGAAAGCCAAGGGTATAAAAACAAAAAAAGAAAAAGTTATTAAGAGTCTTGAAAACAAAAAGGGGGTCATATCATATGTGGAAAAATGTCATGGGTGTAAGGATGGGTGGCGAGAGTGCATCTGCTTCAGTATATACAGACCTTGCTACAAGGGGGACATCTGTACTCACGGGCAGGGCTGGTTCTGTGTCCTGGGCTTTGCGTTTGAGCCCATGTTGGGAGGATGGAGGGGGCATGACCGACTCATCCAGCGTCGTCCGGCTGCCTTCCACAGCTGAAGTCTGCAGAACACTGGCCTCTTCCATGATGGTCTGATCTGGAGGGGAAACAGACATACTGCAGGTGTCAGAAAAACTCACGTGGAAAAAATTTGTATTTTTTGTGCACTGGAAACACTGAATGTTTCAGTTCATCGCCACTGCCATTAACAACCCAAATTCAAGCACTACAAGTACAATCCACACCAAAGAATAGAAAAAAATAAAAATTAAATTAAATATCCATACTGTATATAACACCCATTTCTTACCCATGATGTCTCTCTGCTGGTGCCCTGTTGTTTCCTCTCTGGGCACCTCCGGGTTCTCCAGATCCTTGAGGAACTCATCCAGACTGTCAGCCTCTCCACCTTTCCTCCTCTTCCTAAGCTCGTCTGGTACCAGTGGAGTCAGACACCTTGTAAACATCTAGAGAGAGAGGGATGGAAAAGAGGCAGATAGAGAAAAGATACAGATAGATACAGTAGTTTCCTTCTGTAATGTGTCTGAGGTTACCTTAATCAGCCTAGCATTCCAGAGAGGCTGAGCGGGAAGAGAGAAAAGCTTCTCGACTCCTCCGGTCTCCTTCCACATCATCAGCTTCTTGGTAGGAGGTGCCAGGTCCAGTGTGGTGACAATGTCAGAGTAATCAGACAGCTGTGCACGGATGGTTTTACTGTCCAACTCCTTCACGCTGTCTACAATCAGCTTCCTCTTACGCTTCGCCTTGGTCTCCTTCACTGCACAGGCCATAGGGAGACAGAGATGGATCAGCTCAGTAAACCCAAACAGCTCTGATATTTGGAGCAAAAATGCTGTTGCAATATAAACACATTGTTCGTCTGTAGACAAAAATGGTAAATTTTGTAACTGTAAACAGTTTTTATTTATAAAAAAATCTGGTCTGGTGTACTTGTGTATTATGTTATTGATTGGAAAAGTTACTTTTCTACTCAGAACTTAGTGAGACTTAGTTGTCTCTTAAACCACCTGCATTACCTGTGATGTCAATTGGCTCCAGGGCGAAGGTTTCTTCCTCATTGTGAACCAGGGTGGTTTGTTCTGCCTGGTCGGCCATGGCCGGCAGGGGCTCAGTTGGGCCTGAGTCTGGACTATCTGGGGCTCCCGCTAACAACACACAATCACAGCATGTTGGATGAAATGTAGGTAACTGTGTTGTTATTTCAATTGTATATAACCAAACATATAGCAATACAACATAAAACACTTCTTTTCAGGGTCTACTGCTACTGATTTGTGGAACCTGAGAGAGCGTCAAAGTCGTCGTCATCATCTCCGTGGTCCTGAGGCATCATCACACTCTCTGTGATGGCGGGAGGGTCGTCAAAGATGCCGCCTCCATCCTCGTTACTCAGCAGCTTGTCCACTACACAGAGAGACAGGGTCAGTCAATTATAACAATCAAGATAATTCACTTAAATGAACAGTCCATATAGATGAGAGGGGATACTCAATCAGCATTATTCATAGCATTCAAAAAGTAAAAGCTAACATAGAGGTTTATAAAATAAATATTACTAATGACAAAT